CAGAATTTAAGAATCAAGGCATAATGTAAATATAAAAGACATAAACTACTGAAAATAACTGAGCTGCTGATTTTATTCAACAAATCTACCTATTATCATTTCGTTTATGACGGTAAAAAAAATGGAGCCATTTTAAAAGCAGAACTTATAACCATTACCGTGTTTAACTTAATTAACATAACCCGATTTATGCACGAAAATGGTTCTCGGTGGTAATTATTGTTTTATTACAATACATCGACCTTATCATTATTTAATGAAACTTTTACGATCGGGAATTCCAAACAAAATAAATATCACACTATATTTCATTGTATTTGTAATTTCATTGCAAGTAGTTAAAACAAATTTATTGTTAGGACAAGCGTCTTGTTTATTTCTTTGTAATATGTAAAACATTTAAAATTAAATTTTTGATTATTTTATTTATTTATTTTTTTTTTAATTAGCCTTTATTTGCAATATGACGGCGCAACGATTAAAAATATACAATCTGTAATATAAATTACAATGCAGTGAAAATTAATATAAACATTAATTAATTGTAGTATATAAAACTAACATTAATAATATGTACAAAACAAGGAAACGTAGGCTAGAAAAACAAAAAATAAATTAAATAAAGAGATTCAAATAGTGCAACCAGCGCTCAAAAGGAAAGAAATAGTAGCAGTAATAAATAATAGGGACTGAACGAGAATTGTGGATGTTATATGGATCAGGATTTTAAATGCCATGGGATGCAATACAATTAAAGAGAAGGGTTCTATTAGGAACAAGAGAAGGGCAGTCAAATATAAAATGAGAAAAATCTCCAACAGCTACCTCATCATGCAAATGGCAGAAAGGAACGGAATTAAGGGAAAGTTTATAGGCAAAGTAGGGTAAACGATTATGACCTACTCTGAGACGTGAGAAGAAGGAAATCATTCTGCGAGATAGATCTAGTTTATGAAACCAAGGACAATTACGGGGTGAAGGAATTATAAGCCGATGCCAATGTGCAAAATTAGGAGGGAGGGAAGACCACTTGTCAAGCCAGGCGTTAGAGAGGATTGATTTAAAGGAATGAAAAGCATCATAATTTATAAGATGAAAAGGGGGGGGGGTAAATAGAAAAGAGGATGAGGATTTAGCTAGAGTGTCGGCCATTTCATTGCCACTGATCCCTATATGACCAGGGTCCCAATGAAAATGGACGTCTTTACCTGAAGAGAGAATTTGAAAAAGGAGCGATTTGATCGAAAGAACAATAGAGGAAATGTGGGAACTAAAAGGACTAGAAGTAATAGCCAGAAGACTCGCCTGTGAGTCTGAACAAATAAGGAAAGAAGTATCATGAGAGGAGACAATGTAATGCAGAGCATGCAAAATGGCAGCACATTCAGCAGAGGAGAAAGTGGAAAAAGGGTGTAAGACGGAGGAGTAAGAAATGCTAAGACTTGGGATATAAAATGCACATACTGACTTTGATAAAGAGACAGAGCCATCAGTAAAAATTAAACAGAAACGAGGAAAGTTGGTAAGGGTGTATTGTGAGAAAAGATTGTTAACGATAGATGAAGATAGAGTTGGAAGAATAGAAGGGGAAAAGCCAAGAAAATTTGGGGGGATATGAATAGTTGAAGAGAGAATTAATGCCTCAAAAGGGCAGTCGTAAATGGACAGGCATCCAAAGGACTTATGAATATGTGTAGGTATAGAGGAAAAAGAAGAACATAAGGATGCGAGGATGGGTAACGATTTAGGAACATAACGCCAAGATTGTAAGACAGAGTTGAAGGTATTGAATAAATTAGACGAAGGAGAGGCCATGGATTTAAGAAGAAATTTGTCCGCTATGCGGCGACTTCTAATTTCGATGGGCGGACTGCTGCATTCGATTTCAAGGCTAACAACGGGAGTAGATGGGAGCGCACCAATAATGGAACGTAGGCATGAAGCTAAGATTGAGTTAAGTCTTTTGCGGTGGCACAAAGAGGCAGAGAAGAGAAAGGAGCCATAATCAATCCTTGCTCGAACGATTGAATTAAAAATTAATAGGAGAGAAGAGGGGTGAGAACCCCAAGTTGTACCAGTAATAGAACGAAGGAAGTTGGACCAACGGGATACAAAAGAAAAGAGGGATTGTAGATGAGGAACCCATCTTAGCTTGGAATCCAGATTGAGCCCTAAGTAAATTACAGTATCTGCGAGAGGAATCAAGTGGCCTTCAAAGGATACATGGGGAATTTCAAGAGGCAGATTTTTCCTTGTGAAAATTATGAATTGACTTTTTTCAGGGGCTGGGGTAAAATATGAAGAAAGGAGGTTACAAGACAGAGCTAACAAGGACTCATTAAGCGTGGTAACAGCCCCAGAAGTGAGCTGCTTGAGGAAAAAAGAACGATATCATCGGCGTAAAATAGGGAGGAAAGATTAATACAGTAAAAGGCATGGTTAAAGGGTGCGTGATAGAATAAAATGTGTCTGGTATGGGTATAGAGGAGGGATGGATTCAGTCATAGAGGGAACGTAGGGCGGGGCAACTTTATTACAGAATGAGAAGAACCAAGATTCATTCAGGAAAAAGGAGCGGCGATTGATACAATTTTTAAATTTTTTTGCAGTAGTCCACAGAACATGAAGCGATGAGGAAGGATTTAAGGATGAGCAGAAAGAGTGCCAAGCAAGCTTTTTTGCCTGTTTAAGCGTGCGAGTAGTGGAAGAACAAATGCGCTGATAAGAGAAAAAATCAGAGACTGATCCAGAAGATCTGTACTGGCGAAATGCTTGGGAGCGCTCTTTCACAGCAGTAGTACAAGCAGAGTTCCACCAAAGAGGAGAAGGAGGGAACCTTATTTTAAGACTTTTTTTCTTGGGGAGAGAGGCATTAGCGGCGTTATGTAAAATAGAAACAAAGGAGTCATAATCAGATAAAGGAGAAGGTGTAGCAGAGAAGTTAGACAAAAGAACAGAAACATAAGCGGAATATAAACCCCAGTCAGCTTTATGACAGTCTGGGTGACTGGGTGAAGCAGGATAAGGAGAGGGATCAATGGTATGATCGGAGAAAGAGGAGGGATGAGAAATGATTATAGGGAAGTGATTACTACTATAAATAGAGTCTAAAACAGACCAGGTAAGTGACCAAAAAAGAGAAGTAGAAGTAATAGAAATGTCGACAGCTGTGTCCTCATAAGGAGGGCGATTAGCGAGTGTTGGAGTGCCGTTATTTATTATACTTAGATGGCGAGAGCAGATAGAAGAAAAAATTAAATTTCCACGGTAATTGCTGTTAGCAGAGCCCCACGCAGGGTGATGACCATTGACATCGCCGCCTAGAATGGAATTGGGAGAAATTAAACCGAAAATAGAGTTGATAAGAGTAGAGGGAGGGTTGGCGGAAGGGGAAATATATAAGGACCAAAGAGAAATAGGAGAGAATAAATTGGAAAAGGCTATGATACCAACAAGATCTATAGAATGATGACGAAGAGAGTTGTTAAGATTGTCATCAACAATACCATTTTCAGAATGATAAGAAGAGTCCAAAAAAGTGTTAGCATTAAGGACTGTGTCTAATGTAATTTTAACACGTTTGGCGCTGACAGGTTTAATATTTTGAATACCAATGAACTTTTTGGTAAACACTTTACCTAATTGTACAGGGTGTAAATTACCAATGTTGCTTTCATTAGAGTCTAATGATTAGACGATACAACAAGAACACATAATGGCCCGTAGTAGTTATCTGGGAAACGAGTAACAGCGTGTTGTGAAATATTCAGTGACGCATGAGCTGAAAGGTCGTTAGCAGGTATACTAACTTCGTGATGAGATGCAATAACGTTGTCGACATTATAATTGGCTTTATCGGCCGACGCCGTAGTATCCATCGGAGAGAGAGGTGAGGTAGCGGTGGCGGTTTTATGTTTTTTTACTAGTGGACCGGCTGGTGACTTAGCTTTACTTTTAGACGAATTCTTACCGGACGATGACAAACTCTCAATAGAGGCAGACGGGCTGTTTATAGAGATAGAACTTGGCCGATTTTGTGGGGAGGAATGGCCTTCCCCGCTGGGACCCGGTTAGACATAACCGAAGAACAGTATAGGTGGAGCGAAAGAGTAACGACGGCGAACAAAACAAACCGACTAAATAAAATAAAAATAACCCGACAAAGGCGATTGTAATAGGTGCACAGAAAAACGATAATAACATCCGTACTTGTCGGCAGGTAGAACACGACTGAAATTTTTTATTATTAAAATGATAAATAAATAAAGAAAAAAACATATCATAGATACTTTAAACAAAGTTCAGTGTGTATTGTATAATACATTTGAATACGTTTGTCTGTTGAATATTGTTCGGTACTTTAATTTATGAAATAACACTTTTTTAAGTCTAACCTATTATACTCTTAGATATATTAATTCATTATTTTTCAATGTATTAAATTTAAATAGTACACTTAACCAATAGGGTGTAAGTAACTTTTACAAGAATATGAAATACAAATTTTTACTTCTAACGTATTAATTTATTTTAAAATAAAAAAATGTATTTATGAAATCAAACAAAGCCTAATTTATAGCTTGTTATAAATGTCTGATTATGGAGGGGGTACCGATGGTCATACACGGAGAACACTAGAAAATAATTAGAAACAAACTTATTAAATAAAATTACATTTTTAACAAAAAAATGATACTTATATCTAAAATATTAAATATAAAACAATTCTACCGCTGAATTGAGAATACAATTGTAACCCAAAATGATGTGTCGCATGCCATATGTTGATTTCGATCACATGCCGGCCACTCGGTGGCCACCCTGTGGACGCATATGTGGCCAGAAACCAAAAAAATCATGTTACATATCAATCGTCTCGAGATTTAGTGCCAATGTCGACAAAGGTCTATATAATGTTTTTTTAGATTGTACAATAATAATACATTTTCATTTTAGTAGATAAATTAATAGAATTTTACGCAATTCTAGTAGCAATAGTATTAGGTGCTTGTTGTTGGTACGGCGGTCGACACTCGAAACTCATCATTATGCTTGATGGCGTTTAAGATTTTTTCTGCTTCGCGGACCCCGCTCATTTTTGCGGCTCTAACGCTAGACGGCATACCGGGACACGTGTAGTCACCGCCGAAAAACATGACCGGCTTCACTCCTTCGATTACCGGTTCCGGTTCGGAGAGTACCTTTTGCACTTGGGCGTTCGATCCGGTCATCGCGCCTCGGCAGTACGGGTCGCTGGACCACTTGGACCGGACCACTTGCCAGACTAGCGGTACCCGCTTCAATTTGGGGTGTGCCTCGGCCACGATCGCGGTGAGTCCGTCCACTATTTCGCCGTCGGAAAGTCGCTCCATGAGTTCGGCTCCCTCGCCCGCCACTATTGCCTCCAGTACGTGGTCGCTGTCCGGTAGCTTCCGGATGGTTTTTACATCGTTGGACCACCCGCACGCTTCGACATTGTGTACGTCGGTTCGGTACCAGTGGCGCAACGGTTCCGCGTACGACAGATACACCAAGTTGACGTGCTCGATGGCCATGTCGTCGATGGCGTCCAACTTGGCCGCGCTGAGCGAAGGGAGGAACATAGATTTTGCGTTGGCCTTGAGCACGCCCAGCGGCAGTGTGATTAGCGCGTAGTCAGCCACGTGTTCGTCGCCCTGTTCGGTTTTGACCATCACGGCCGGCGGCCCCGACATACCTCGATTGGGGCACAGCGAACATCCCCAAACCACTCTGGAAACGGGCGACTCCAAACGGATTTTCGATTCGGGAACGTGCTCCAAATAGGGCGCGATGGACCCGTAGTAGCCGACGGTCACTTTAATGTCGCTGTCGCGTACTTCCATGTACACGCCGCCGCCGTCTCTTGTTTCGCGCAACGGCGGCTGGCCCGCGCAGGCCGCTTTCACGACGGCCGTGTACAGACGGGCCACTTGTTCCTGGTCTTCGACCGGGAACGACTGGATCACGCTCCTCAAACGCACCCCGGCCACACTCTCCATGTTGCCGTACACGTTGCTGTTGTTGGTCGATCGGATGTTTTCCATGGACCTCAGCACATCGTCGATGATGTGCAACACTCGCGACACGGTGGCCGTTGACATTCCGTCCAGATCCAACCTGGTCAATGTTCTTTTTACGTCGTCGGTGTCCAGCCACCGCCGGAAGCTTGGGTCGACACCCGCCAAGTGTACAGCCGGGTTCGGCATGCCACATGGAAAACCGTGCTTCTTGGCTCCCAGCTCGACCGTTACGTCGCCAATGCACTTGGTTGTTACGCGGCCGCCTAACCTGTAGCATTCACAATGGCATTCATTTGTTCATAATTTCAAAAGTTAATTGTACGTGCATTATAATGAAACCGTGTATATAGATATAGCTATGGTTAACAACTGGATAAATGTAAATACAATTTCAATTAATTAGGAAAATATCAAATAATATTTATTAACACTTAATCGAGAATTTGCGTGCAACAAAAATAGCATCGGTTTCAGCAGCACTCAGTAAATGACTTATGGTTGAATTTCGAAAGTAATTAGTAGAAGAATGGGGAACGGAAGATCACGAATGGGTTTTTAATCGGGTATGGATAGAAATATTGGCATCATAGCCGGTGTTGATAGTTGCTAGCAAAACCCAAATGCCTTCGACCACTTCATTTTAAATGTTCGTAATTTGTTCTTTTTTATTCGGATTAAAGCAATAACTGTTATTAATGGTTAAGCTTCAAATATTGACATGTCCTCTCCCTTGAAGAGTGAGACTGTCAAATGTGGATGATTACCGGTTTCTCGCTTCTAAAATCAGAATATCGTCAATTCCGTTGCACAATAAATGCTTTGCTGCGCTCAGGCCCGAAAATCCTCCACCGATTATTATCACTTTAGGCGACTTAGTAACAACGTTATTGATCACATTGTCTTCCTGAGTGTTACTCGTAGTGCTCCGAATCATATTTCGTGATATCCGAGCCCTAAATCGCAATGAGAAAAATCCTTAGAGATTCATCCAACGTATGTTATAATTGGTAATATTGAGTATTAAAAAAAAAAAATTATTAGTATATAGGTATGTTTTTGTTTTTATTATTCAACTAACTTACAGTTAGTTAGTCAGTTATAGTTAGTCAACTAACTTGCAGTTATACTAAATATTTACACTTGATTACATTTAAATAATAACGACATACTATACTTGTTAAATTATACAGGGTTTAGTTGGGTTTATTAAGTTATAATACTATAATGGACTAATTGTCTCTTTTTAGACCTCTTTTTTTTAACTGTTGCGCTCCTTTGCGCAGCCTGAGCTGTTCTTTAAAGTTGATTGATAATATATTAATGTAATTTTGGATTGTATGTATTCGAAAATCCTAACAAACCCTGTAGCGTTAGAAATATTGTGCAATATCTTTGACGGGAAAAATTGTGTTTTGTTGATATAAGATTTCGCAGCACATCCCCACAATGGCGCTGCATATGATAGGAGAGGGCGAAGAATAAGCATGTTAGAGACAAGTATTTAAAATTTCTAAACATACAATTTTTATTTCTGTGATTGATTCTATATTGATGTGAGTATGCCATTGTGTTCTATATTTTTTTATATGAACAGGAGAATGTTGACATTGAAACTTACTTGCAAGCGCTTCGGTTCAGTAACCTTGAAATATTGCGTAGCATGCTTATATTTTAATAAAGGTTTAAATTGAGATAAATTAGTATGTAATTGTAGGGTTTTTAATGTTTGTTTGCTTACCTATTTTGGTTGTTTAGCAACATTTTAATCATTTATAAGTGAAGAGAGTTTACATAGTATTTCGCTAAGTTGAAAGCTAGTGATAACTTTTTAACCACTAGACCAATTTTGTTAAAACGGTATCATGCTATCGCATAATATCCAGCACCATCTTCTTTTGCATCTTTTTCCATTTACACCGGACGCAACCATAGTGGTGGCAACACTACCGCGATCCAGCAATTTATTCTTTTTTTCTCAATTTAATGTATACAGAGTGATCCAACTAACTTAAGACACTCATTTTTCGGAAATCATTATTATTTTGAAAAAAAATATCCTATTCCTTATGGTTCATATTTTACTTTATTTTTTAATTATTATCTCCAACCCTTATATGTAAAACAAGTATCCTCATTTCACTTTGAGTATACCCTAGGACAGTATATTAATTTTACAAAGTTTCATCGGGATCGGAGACCAAAAAATTTTTAGGTGGTTACACTTGGCATTTCATATATCTAATATAATTTTTTTATAAAACAAAACAATTTTTCGTTTCACTAAGATCTAAAATGGTCCAAGTAAAAAACCGTTAAATTTACTAATTTAAACATTCATTTTTAGTTTTTTGGCTTCTGGCGAACATTTTCAACGGATTCATTATAATCTTAGATTAGGAGCTACCACTGCCGGTAAAACTGTCTATGATACATGTTGTGCAATATGGAAAATACTATCACCACAGTTCATGCCTCTACCTTCGGCTGATAGTTGGTTGAAAATTGAAAAAGACTTTGACAAATGCTGGAATTTCCCTAACTGCGTTGGGGCCATAGATGGTAAGCATATATCTATTCAATGTCCATCAAATTCAGGATCTAGTTATTTGAACTATAAAGGACACCACTCTATTGTTCTTCAAGCAGTAGTTGACACTAACGCAAAATTTATATTCATAGATGTAGGTGATTTTGGTCGTAACAGTGACGGAGGAATTTTAAAAGAATCAAATTTTGGAAAATTATTAGATAACAATAAATTAATTTTACCTCCGCCGAGAAAAATTCATGAAGATGTTGAAGATGAATTTCCATTTGTGTTTGTTGCGGATGAAGCGTATCCATTAAAAAAAAATTTGATGAGGCCATTTGCAAGAAAACAATCGACAAATTCGAAGCTAATTTATAACTATCTCCAATCACGTGCGAGAAGAATAGTAGAGTGTGCTTTCGGTATATTAACAAAAAGATTTAACGTATTTGAAAATAAAATGTTAGTTAATCCTGAAAAAGCAACAGTTATAACTCAAGCTGCTTGTGTACTTTAATTTAATCATGGACAAAGAACATAATTCAACTGACATTCACAATGAAATGGAAACAACCTCATCACGAGTATACCAAGAAGATAATATCAACAAACCTACAAATCGCAGACCACCAAGAGAAGCCATCGATATTCGTGAAAAGTTTATGAAATATTTCAACTCAGAAATAGGATCCGTTCCATGGCAAAATGCATATATTGTTTAAAATACCTAAGCTAAATCTGTTCGTTTTAATAAATGAAATACTACTTTAATAAATACTATTGTGTTGTACAGACTAAAGAGTTGTAAACATTTATTAATACTTATAACGTTTTATAAAAATACTTATGAAATTCTATTTTATTATAGGTATACATTTGTCTATTTTTAACTTAATGTTTTCAACTCTGTACAAGTATAAAATTTGGGATTTTGTATGTAATAAGTATTCAGATAATAGCTACAGTATATAATTATTTACAGTTTTAATTACAATTTTTAATACATTAATAAAAATTACCATCAACATTTATTTCTTTGCTTATTTCTTCCCATAACTTGTCTTGAACAATTTTATTGCTATGCTCCTTGTCATTAAAATCATAAATGGAAGATCTCATTTCCACTAAATTAACTAAAATTTCTCCATCACAAGACATTATATTAAGTTTATATAAATAATGTTCATTAAAAATAAATACGAAAAATAGACACTGTTGTCTAGTTGTGACAAACGAAAAATGTGGACACTTCAGACAGTATCAGTCATGACTAATTGTGTTTAAAGCAAAAACGTTTTGTTTTGTCTTTGTCTTATCAGTGTGCGTATACAATGTAATTTCCTATACTCTATTTTTAGCAAGACAGTGTTAGGCTGACTAACCAGGTAATAATTTGTGTAGACAAAAGCAGTGGGGTCACTGTTATTTCTGTCACAAATTACCAGACCAGATTTAGCGTTTGCAGTAAATTATGCAAAACCAACTAACGCACATTTTTTGTTTTCGTGATGTAGTACGGCGCTACGAGGGACACTTCGCCTTTGCGGATCGTCCTTCCCTCCGTATCCACATCGTTTATTGACCACGATGAAAAATTCACAAACTACTAATATTATTATATCAGTATTTACAAAAATATAGAGGGCTCTATCCCTCTAAGTTTGCCTTCGGCTACATTATAAACAACTTAAATAGGTTTATTAATTCTTGAGCTGGGCGTCGACCCGGTTTATACACCGGCACACCTCGCTGCCTTCGTCTCTCCTCTTCCTCTCTGATAGACAGGACCTCATCTGCATACGCCTTCACCAAGTCGCAATTTGTCCGACTCATAAGCATCCGTCCCACTACGGTCTCTGGTTCAAGGTCTCCACCGATCCGCACCTCCAATTCCCTGCGTCTTCTCCACCAGCGATCGCATCAAAAAAGTGAATGCTCCGCATCATCTGCCCTCGCCTGACAGTCAATACATGAAGGATTTTCAACCTTCTTAAAGCGGTGCAAATACTGACCAAATCACCCATGGCCGGTGAGCATCTGCGCGAGATGGAAATTTATGGTGCTAAATTTTCTTTTACACTAAACTTGCACGTCTGAAATCAGCCTCCTAGTCCATCTGCCAGATCCGGCCCGTTCCCACTCCTAACTAACGCACATTTGCAAATGGTCAAGCGTATAATTCGTTATATTAAACATACATAAGATTATGGTTTGTTTTAAAAATCAATAAGATGATAATTAATTGTTGAGTGTCTACAGCGATTCGGATTATGCCAGCGATATTCAAACATCAACGTCGTGGCACTTGAGGTTAAGCTGTGGCCGTTGCTGCTCGAACCCGTATGGGTGACCACCCGGATTTTTAGCGGCGACCCACACCATTAACCCTCGATAAGCATGGCAGAAACGCCATGCGCCCTCGGGGGACCGAACTGGCATAAAATTAGCTTTAGCCCTCTCGTTCAATAACGCCATACGAATATTATATTATTATTTTTTATTTAAACACCAAATTCCACTAGCTTTACTCGTGTAGAAGCGCAATTTAACTAAAAAAATGTTTAGTTCATTAACAAACATTTTAACTAATGTCGGTAGTAATATCCAAAATGTTAATTATGTACACAAGCCGCATCTATAATATTTCATTTACTTAGTGTTAACATTACATAGTGAACCTTGTGACCTCTGTGAAACGTATAGTATTTACTTTATTTATTATTTACGTATACTTGATAATGTGAGATTTTGCTTGAGAACATAATTTTGTGTAAACTGCAATTAAGAATTGTAACGGAGCAACACACCAACGATCACACCACGCGGCCGTAACGAATAGTGAACACGACGACCAAAAACCACTAACAAAAAAATCGACCAATGGGATTGCGGGGTTTTTATGAAACAAGCATAAATACCGACCGCAATCCCAAATTCTACACAGTCTTCTTCCAACCATCCGGGTATTATCATACACTGGATCACACCTGTGTATTCCCGGTAGGATAACATAGCTCTCCATCTGTGAGGTACCTAGTGCCCGTTTTCCCAGCGTGAGTGGCGAACTTATGTGAGTCCCGCCCTCACCGACACATATTGTAATAAATAATATCTATAAAAAATAAAGAACAACCGTGATAACGAACATCAGCTTTGTTATTGAAATCACGATACGGCGAGGCACCCGCCACCCGTATCAGAATATAAAATACATATTAGTCTGTAGTAACACTATCCTGAAATATGTTATCATACTTGATTTATTATCATACGTTTCATTATTTATTGACGAATTAAACAGTTATGTTTTATGAGTATTGCTGTACAATTAGTGTTTTTTTGTAGCATCAACTTATGTTGACAAATCATACACTTCCTTTAATAAGTTATCTTAGTACTGGAGTTATATTTTAATCGAGTCCTTTACAGAGGGAAATTGGAATGACTGTTGAATTGTTTTGTTAGAGACGAACCAGGGTGAGCCACTTATGGTTCTAAGTATTCAATATTTTGTACCAATTCGGTTTTTGTCCAGTGTAATGGTGCTTGTAGAGGGCCCCAGGCCTGTCTGCCGCACCTAAGTATCGTTCTAAATTCTGATGTACATTTTATAGAAAGCGAGTTTAGTGTTTTAATTGGAATAGGGTTGCGTCGGTTAAACACTGGGTATAGAGCATCCCTGACTCTAATTGCTTTTTGAACTGTTCCTTTAATGTGGTCAGCAAAATTTAATCGGTAATTCATTTTGACTCCCAAATACTTCGTATGAGCAATTGATTTTTTGATTTTTAATTCTGATCTTAAGTTTTTCGGTTGGAAGGCGGTTCAACATAACAGCTATTGTTTTTTGTGTATTAACTGGGAGTCACCATTTATCGAACCACTCAATTGCCGCATTCAGTTGACGATGAAGTTGAATAGTGCAACTATTTGTACTTCCGCACAACGTCTGAATAATGTTTACCTAAACTCCTTATATTTGCGTGGAGTAACAAAGGGGTGTCCGTTGAGCTGATAAGAACAGATTGCTTGCTTTATTAAAATGTTATGCAGTGGGTTATGAATTGTATTATTATAAACGAAGACGCGTAGGACCTTTTTACACCTTACCTCCACCACCAATGATAAGCATAGGTACACAATTTTTCATTTATATGTATTTACTTAACCTCATCATACATAAATTGTAGAGAAAAATAACATAATTACATTTTTTAATTGATAAAATCAAAACATTTCCTTTAATGTTATAACAGATTATGAATAAACTTATAATTAATAAAATAACAGATGCATTATCTTTAATTTTTAATAAAATTTTAAATTTAACTTTTAAGCAAATTAAAATTAATAGTTACATATTTCCTATAAATTATGTTTACCTGTTAATTTTAATAATTTTGTTTAATTAATTTTTTAATTATAACAGTTTATTAAAACTTGATAAAAAACTACTTTACATTTGTACTAGAATTAAATTCTTGTTCTTTACTACAGGATTCTTGGGTGATGATAACATTTTGATTTGGAATTTGTTTATATTTTTGGGAGCTATGGCTTTTTTTGTAAGTCTTCATTTTTTAGGAGCAGATTATGAAATTCACGATAAGTTTCTTTGACAAATATTTTTACTATTAACATTTCCTTTACAGTATTAATGTACATGGAATCTATTTTTTCTTCAGTCCCAGTTCTACACTAGCATTAGTTCCAGGTAAACACATAATAAATGCTACAATTTTAGTAGTGTATAGTTGGGTAAGGATCATCCTCTCTTATCAGTGATCCTCGAGGATGATCCTCCTTATCAAAAAAATTGTTATCAGTGATAAGAAAAATTTTGGCGTCAAAAAAATGGACGATTGTGAGTATTCATGTGGTATTACAGATTGTTATCAATGATAAGAAAATTTTGGCGGCAAAAAAATGTGAGTATCCATGTGGTATCACAGAATAACCAGAAGGGAAAGTTAAAAAAAATTACATGGGTTCTTATGAGCTGCCGAAAAAGGCCGCCTGCCATATTGTTTTTTCGGCAGGGAGCCAGATCACTATAAATAATTTCAGTTCTTGGATATTTCTAGACACACTGTCACAGAAAAAAACGTGATAACTGATTAAAAAAAAATAGTTCTTGAATATTTAATTTTTTACCAAATTTTAGTAGAATCGTTATGACTTATGGCCAATAATTAATTATTAAGGCCCCTGTAGACGATCAAATTGTTTGCTAGTATGCAGGCTTGTTTGACGCGTGTGTAATTAATGTAATTAATTAATGTAAGTGTTTGATGGAAATCTGGCTTGACGGCGTGTTTGAAGCGAACGTCACGCCATGCGGCAAGGAGAAAACCGAAATTACGGGCAAGTTTGACAAATTTGTTTGATCTTTGGTTGAATCGTTTGAGCTATTGTATAGGACCGGAGGATTACTTCATCTCCTTAGACTTCCTGTTTGCATATTAAAATAATGTTTTACATATCTTCTTTTAATGTTTGACAATTATATATTTAGTTTTTCGTCAAAACCTATAAAATAATAATAAAGTTATAATAATAATAGTAATAATAGTTGAAATAATAATAATAGTTGTCAATAATAATCATAATAATTGTTGTCATTATAATAGTTATAGTAATAATTATATTATCTACAAATGTTTTAATATTGCCAGTTTTCTATTTATCTTTTTCTTTTCGGCAATCAAAGATTTATTTAAAAACGAAAGTGTTGAAAATATTCTAAATCTCGTAAATAAATTTAATAAAAATGTTATTTCAAATTGTTCGCAGGGATGTTTAAAATGCACTGTGCAGAATAAATCTTTAATCTTGGTCCCAACGTCATCTTCAAGTGCGATTGAAGGAAAGTTTTCAATAAAAATATTTTCTAATTTCAAAATGAAATTGTAAAATTTGTCATGAGGCATTGTTAATTTTCCAAATGATGAAGCACTAGCATTGTCATCAGTATGGTATGATTTGAAGAAAGAAAGAAGAAACGATTGCTCTAAAGACTTTTGATAGTTTGCATAACTCATACAAACTTGGCAAACGTGTTTCTCTAAACATTTTTTCATAAGATAACCGCAAACATAAGTAAAAGAGTTTTGTTCTGGTAGATTTAGATTTCTATAATCCACTGTACCGATTTTTATAGGATTTAAATTAAAAAAGTTTGGTTTAGGAGTTATTAGATCAGGAATTTTGGAAGATAATTGTGGATCACTTATACTACATAAAATTTGGTCAAGATCTTCAATACAATTAGCTCCGAGGGAATGTTGGAAATAATTGAGACAAAAAACTTTCTTAAAACCTTTAACAAATTGTATTGAGGATGGATTCATGTTATTACCATTTTGGTTACGCATGGTCCCAAATAAATTTTCTAAGCAGTCTTGATTCAACCTACCAGTGCAAAGAGCATAATCTTTATTTTGGCTTGGGTTTAAGGAATGATATAGCATTTGCAAACCAGATATTGAAACCAACCATCCATTAATAAAGTTTACGCGTTTAGTAACGTCAGTTCCATTTAATTTGGTTATTACCTTCATGTTATTTAATACTTCAAACATTTCAGTTAAATGATTTGTTTGAGGAGAAATATTTTTGAAGGGGTTATTGTAAATTTTACTATTAGGAGTAGTTGACGAATTGAAAATATCGAATAATTTGTCCATATTATAAATAAAATATATTGTATGTTTTGCACTGGGAGGTAAAATCCCACAATTCATAGCGGTGGACATGCCGGCAGCAACACTTGAACTAAATACCTGGGCTGCTAACCGTACTTTCATTTTTTCAAATGGCCCTGGATACACATGTGAATATGTTAATTTTGGGACAATGCGTAGATTACATTTCGAATCAAAATTGTAAAAAGTATCTAAGTAATTCTTTTCAATTAAATCACCATTAATCTCAAAATTATGTTTAAAAAACATATTACGCGCCGATTTTAATAAGTGAGGGGGATCAAATATATATATCACTTTTTCTTCGTCAACTTCAAAGT